AAAAAATTTGAAAAGACAAAATCGAGAAAAAGAGGAGAAAAAAGCTCAAATTTGTCCAACAATGGTGTTTGAGTGAAAATAAAGAAGAAAGATGGCCTTTAAAGGTCAAAATCTGACCGTTACTTTATTTTTAAGGCATCTCACGCTTTTACCTTGTGTGTATCACACGCTCCATGTGGAGTCTTTCCACATAGGATGCCACATCAAAAAAAGTGTTTAGAATGTTGAGTTTGGATGGGTTCAGGGGTCCAGATGACAAAAGGATAAGTAGAAGGGTTCACAATACAAATAGATACAAGTACAAGGGTCCACCAGACCATTCTGCCTTTTTTACCTTGGCGATCGCGATGTGTCTTCTTCGTGGCCCATAGGCTCGCGTCCGCGATAAGCTCCTTTTTCTCTAATAAGCCTTCAAGATTGCGGACAAGGTGTCTCGCGATCGCAATGTTTCTTCCGCGTCTTTCACGATCGCGATGAGTAAAATTCACTTAGAATGAACTCAAATTCAGGATTTCTCGCAAAAATCCCATTTTCAAACCCTTGGAGCTTTGGGAGGCGATTGTTAAGTGATTCTTGGTGAATTCTAGGTTAGGGTAAGCTTCTTTTGCTTATCTTTATCGATTCCTAGTAATTCCATCTTTTAATAACATCTTTAAATCAAGGTTTTAAGTAGAGACTTTAGAGGTTTTTCTCAAATGAGAATAATGGTGATTTCTTGATTTCAAGCTCATTTCTTCATCGAATTTATGGGGTTTTAAACCACGGTTTCCTTTTGGCTTGTGGAAAGTGTATTTCAATTAAAAATCTGATTTTGCTCTTCGATATTCGAAGTGATTTTTTGGATTATTTTACCCCCAACTTCAAAACCCTTCACTATAGGTATCTTTGAGCTTCTTTTGATAAACTTTTCCCATTCTTGATAGTTGAGGATCGTTTCGGTTAGCGCGTGGTTGATTATTTGCTCCGGTTGAGTTGTTTGGGTGAAGTTTTGGCCTTGAGGTAGGTTTGGTTATCCCTCTTTTTAGACTGAGTTGATCAGTAATTAACTTGTTCTTAGGAAGTTAACTATGAAATGAGTAGTCGTATGTGCCTTAGAAGTTGGTGAGTGTTGATATCCCTGTTTTAATTCGATTGATGCCTTACTGTGATGTTAGCCTATGTGGAGGCTTATGTGATACTGTTAACTGTTGTGGAAAGTCTGTGATTCTTGAGAAAATTGCCCAAGTTAAGAGCTTGAGTTGACTTGTGAACATCTTAAAATGAAAGAAATGATTTCTAGTGGTAAAGACTCATTTCAATTGGATTTCGCCATTATCCATATCTTTTGAGAATACCTGTCATGACTTTTTGAGTTTGGGAATTCGATACTATTTGCAATTCTTAATGAACTGATTATGCCTTGTGTTGTATGTGTTGTGATGCATTCCTCATGATGCAGCATATCATTATTTCATGGAAATATGAAAAAGTGGAGAAGTACTGTCTTTTTAAGAAAAAAAAATTGACACCTTACTTATATTATTGACCACGCTGAGGTGGCAAGTTGCTTATCTACAATGCAACTTGAGGAATCTTAATTTTATGTTATGCATGAAGTGAGTTGAGCTTCATGGAGGTCGTGCTGGCTATGATGATCCAACCATGGTAAGTTACATTGGGCACATTGAAGGTAGAAGTTATCTCTTCATTGGTCATCAGAAAGGTAGAAAATACAAAAGAAAACATCATGTAAAACTTTGCAATGCCAACTCCTCATGGTTATGCTTCAAGAATTCTCATTCATAGCAATATTACTAATTACTATCATTAAGCATTCCAAGTAATATATTCTGTGGTTAATAATAGGTTAAATTGAATTGATGTTTTCATTAATTAAGCTGAAGTTGTTGCTCATAGCCTCTGAACATGTTCCCAATTTAATTTTATTGCTCAGTTATCAGATTATTGGGGAGTCTATGCAGCGTTCAGTTGTTTGAAAGGAATATTCTTCACCTTGACTTTCAAATATTGCGTTATTAGATTGTGTTTGGTCATGTAGAATCTATAATCACCTTCAATATTTTCATGTAGGGTGAGCCAATAGCCCACAGTTTAAGGGCATGTTTGGGCTAACTTCCAATCATAACAGTTGTAACTAATGAAGATGGTTCAAGCAGAGCTCTTGCCATTGGATGTGGTTAATGTTCAATATTTTATGTTACTAGGTAAGTTTGGTTCATTTGTACTTCTTCCATATTTTTGCTACTTATCAGGCATGTGACAATTTGAAGAAAAAGAAAAGTTCAAGTTTAAAAATTATTTATCAACCAAAAACATGTTGTTTTAGCTTTAAAACATGGACACATTTTACATATGTTGCAGCTTGGATTTTGTAGTTGTTGCTTTTACACTTGTTGCATTGTTTCCTTGAATGTCTCCATCTTTTCTGTATCTTTACAAAATCTATGCTTCTTTGATCAGTCTTGTAGCTTGTGCTTCTATATTATGAAAATCTTTACAAGCAGGTCCAACCTCCGAAGGTACTATAGTTGTTCAAGTTTGTGAAAAAAATGGTTTATCATTACTAAAATTCTGATTGAATAGGCAGCTGAGAGCTCAAGAACATTACAGACTTTGGACAGCAGATGCAATTATTTCAATAAGTACCATCTCTATACTTATTAATTTGGTTTCAGAGTGGAAAAGATTGGAACCTATGGTAATGGGTTGGTGATGCCAGGTAGTGTGAAAGAAACACTGTTTAGCTGGACTTTTAGAAGACGGAAAAGAGATGCAAAACATAAGATTGTCGCTCCTTTATCACTTATGTTGACAAAGTTTTTGATGAAGTAGAGAAGAATTTTGCACACTTGAAGAATAGTTCCTCATCCCTTATTTATTTTTTGTGCACTCACAAGTTTCTTGCTTCTTACATGTATAGAAGATCGGATTTATTCGTAAAAAGGTATCTTTTGTAAGGTTGTCTATATTTGATATACTTCTTGTATATGGGTACATTATTGCCCTTCTTTTACTGTTGAAATTTATTACTTTTCCAAAAAAGAATAAACACAACCTGTATTCTAAGTTAAGCTTTTAAAAAAAAAAAATCCAGTAGCACTAGAGGTGTTGTATATCATAACAAAAGTTTAAATACAACACATGGATAGAAACTATCCATCAAAAAAAGGGGCAAACAACACAAAAATCAGCTTATTGCTCATCAATACTACAGCAAGAAGAGAAGCCTAACTAACAAAAAAATTTCCTTATCAACTTTAGACCTTATACTCGGGACTTGTCTCTTATCCAGAATGAAAAGTCCTTTTGTGGCCTTGGGAAGTTGTTGAGCCGAAAGATAAATGTTTCTAGTTTGAAAGTTCATCGCCATCTTTGCTAGCCAGTCTGAAAATTGATTGGCTTATCTGTAGGAATGCTCAAACTTGATACTAGCAAGATCTAGAATTGAAGAAGTAGCTTCTATGATTCTGTTCAACCTGAACTACTAGCCTTTTTTTTTCCTTAAGCATGTTGATTATAAAAAGTGAATCCAGTTCCACGATGATTTTTGTTTACATCATTTGCCTTCAAACCATGTTGCCTTAGCTTCTGCTATATTATGACTAGAGCACTCACTGCACAGCGATAGAAAATTCCATAATAAGCTCCCCGTGTTCATATCTGAGTGCACCCCCTAGTCCTGCTCTGCCATCATTCATGTTGAAGCTTTCATCTGTGTTTACTTTCAGGTACCACGAATCAGGCTTCTGCCAGCACACCAGGAGGATTCTAAGAGTGGGTTGCAGATTGATAATATTCTGACAAAGATCACTCCAAGGTAGAGCTAATTTGCATCCTGAGAAAGTTCTAGAAATTGCTGCTTGAACTGTCCGTCCCACCAACTGCTCCATTTGGTAGCAATTAAACCTTTTCTACTTGCCATAGTCATTTATACAATGCTCATAACGAGTCTCAGAGAAGAAGACTTACCACTACTAAAAATGACAATATCATCAGCATAAGCCAAGTGATTAATAATAGGACAGTGAAGGGGGTAAACTTTTCATGATTATTGAACATATTTAAGGATCTAAATAAAACCTTAGTAGCAAGATTAAAGAGGAAGGGTACAGGGGATCGCCTTGTCTTAAGATTAAACCTGGCTTTTTGATTACTCGACAATATACAAATTATTTAATTTTCAGTATTTGCGCAAGATATATTTTGTTGTTTAATTTAACTAACTCCAGAAGAAGTCCAAAATCAAATATAGTGAAATCCATAAATTGTAATCAAAGATAACTACAAATTACTCCACTACGTTTGCGAAATTCAGCTCTGCGTTTTCTCCAGTTCGCATGGCTAAATCAAACTGCACTCTAGGGTTTATTATAATTATAATTACTTACCCCGTCTCCTCAATCAATCGCGACTTTATTTGTGAAGTATTTACTAAAGAGGAATCATCAACCATGAATTGTGAAGTTTGTCAGCTAAAAGAACTTGTAAGTTTCTACTTTTGCATTGTGTGAATATGAGCTCTGAGTTCTCTTTTTGGGCTTGATTTTTCGTTTAATTCTTCAGTGGTTATCTTGCTGAAGGATGTGGAGCACTTTGAGATACGACAAGTCCTCCGATGTAAGTTCAAGTCCTTAATCAGCTGCTTTATTAGTGATTATTATGTTTTGAATTTTACGGATTAATCCATTACAGAGTTGCAGCTCAGACAATGTTATGTGTATTTAGAAGACTCGGAGAAGCTTAAAAATACACCTAGTTTTAAGAAGCCATACACTTCCCAGGGTGAGTTTAAGCAAGTCCAATTCAACTCTCACCTCGTAGCATAATACAAACAAAGAGGACTATTTGTTTAACAATGTGCCATATGGTAAGGCTCGCTAAACATAAGCTTACATATACACAAAATAAATACATAGACGATGTTGACATGTTATTGGGGTACAATTTGTAATTTTTCAAATATAAGCATCAATCTAAAACTTTATTATAAGTACTACAATTTACATGGGAGTGACCGTTGCGCTTCTATGAGCCCTATTAGTCTGCCTATACCAAACAACGAATGTCGTACAAAAAAATAAACCCAAAATTACAAAAGTCATTATTACATATAAATAATCCCTACTAGAACTTTTATCGTAGTTGGGGGAAAAGTTGGGAAGAAGAGGTAGAAGGGGTGGTAAAGAGGGTATGTAACTCCCTTGGTATTCTATGATGGCGGTTGTAATTTTATTCGTGTCATACGCCTCGCTAATATTCGTTACTGCAACCATATAATAATAATTTGGTTGCTGGTTTGCCTCGAAGATGCAATCAATCGAGTGTTGTCTAGTCAATTCGACGTAGTCTGTTGTAAATTGCTTTGCTATAGGACTTCCATCCATCGCGATTACGGTTAAGTTGTGCCTTGCGATCCCAACGTGAAGGTTGTTATGGATTGCAGTGTTCACAATTCTGAGAAGATATTTCTTCCCAGTATCCACTACAATCCTAAAAGTTCCTGTCCATTTTAATTAATAAAAGAACATTAAAACTAGTGCAACAAATAACTCGAGAAAATAATAAGTAAAAACTTACTGGCCCATATGGACAGAATCGCAAAACAAAAAAAAACAATGTTAAAAATAAAACAGAAGAGTCCAACCGAAAAAAACTAGTTTGATAGATGGGAGAACTGATTTTTCTTTTTAAAATTTCAATACAATTACGACATAATAACAGAGCTAATGCATCTTTCTTTTATCAAATTTTAAAGCCCCTTCCACCATTACTTGGAAAAAAGCCATGTCTTTTCCTTGACTATTATTAATGTCTAATTAAAGAGATCGGATACAAAGATTTTAATTTTTATTAGATTAATTAAGTTTGATATAAATAAATTGAACGGAATGACTTATACATACCATTGTTTGAACAAGGGTAGAAGTCACCAGGCTGTCCATTAACCGTGAAAGCGTCGGATTTTGTGTCACTGCCTGAGTCAATATATTCAAGGAAGACCTCCTTGACATCCTTCTTCCACCATTCACCTGGTGAAATTGTGAAGAATTAATCAAACAAAAAGAAAATATATGTTAGTAAACGACTTAAGATTTTGAAATAAATTACTTAAAACTAAATTATTCGAATATTATTTAACTTATATACCTAAAATGATGGGAATATTGGCATGATCATCAGGCTTTCCGGGTTTTGGATGGACAATGAAAGCGCCATGAACAGTGGCGCGTTGCCAGATGTTCATGGCATGCCACCATAGCGTCCCTTCGTCGTCGTCAGATATTGTGATATTTTTTCTTACTGTAGACCCTGCCTCAACTAGCCATTCCACTTGATCAAACTTCACGTGTCTACCCACGCGCCTACAACTTAATTTTAGAAAGAACAAAATAGAGTCACCAAAAGTAACAAATTACTTAAACAAACAAAAACAATGAAAAGTAGGATTTCTTGATAATTTGAATTGTGTACCAAAACATTGTAACGTTGTCCTTCCCTCTGTTTTCAACGTCTAGGGCCAACGTTTCTCCAGCGCGCGCATATATGGTAGGCCCTGGGAATCGTCCGTTGACAGTAAGAATCTTCTTCGATTGGCAAAGCCTATCGAAAGAAGTTTCTTCAATCTGTTGATAGTACAAGATAAAATTGATTAGTACACAACACAAACCATAACTTTAATAATGCAAAAAAAATAAATTAAATGAACAGACAATACTTACAACGAAATGAATATTATTATTGTTTTGTGTTGAACCAGTGTACTGAACTGCAAAAAATATGATCAATACCAAACTAGTGTTGATTTTTTGGAATGTCATTTTTCTTGTCTAAAGAAATAGAGAAGTCGAAATTTTTGAGAAAAAGATGAAGAAGGGCCTATCCTTTCAAGAATCTAACTATCTTGGAGTCAATTTATAATCTTTATAAAATATTAAAAGAAAGAAGCAATTGTCTCACATATTTCACTAAGAAATGAAGTGGAGAAATATATATAGAGGAGAAAGGGGAATAGAGCTCTATCTATTCATATGCAGGAAAATTTAGTTCTTCTCAATTTGGATAGAAGTCAAATAAACGGGTTAACTAGATTGAATTTGAGCAGGTTATTAAAAATTAGACGCAAAGGTCATAAGCGTAAAATCATTTTGAGCTGCATATAATACTTATAAGTTATAAACTTACAGCTTACATTTTTCTATATATGATTTTAAAAGTTTTAAAAAAAAAAAAAAATTTGTTGTGTTCATATCTATCTTTGTTTATTCTATTTCATTGATCAAATATAAAAAAAAAATTATAGAAACAAAAAAATTCTCTTATTTAGATAAATTTACTAGTTTTGCATAGAAGATTGATAATATTTGAATTATACGTCAGCTACATAACTAGATAAAATTAATTGAGAGCAATAACTACAAAAAATAAATGATAGTGGATGACTGAAATATAACCAATTTTAGATATTTATCACATTACGTAAGATCATTAAGATATCACTTTTTAGGGAAAAGAAGAGGCATAAAAAAAAATTAAATTCAATAAAATTTCCCCTCGTATGAAAACAAACAATTATACTTTATTGCTATCACTATCATATTGATTACACCATAAGTAGGAAAAAGTAAAAATAAAAAAATAAGAACCAAATAAGTAATACTTTAAAATTAAAAGTTAAACATTCAAAAAACTTTAAAGAAAAATAGTATAAATTATAAGTTGTCGTGTCTATGTGAGATATTGCTAATATAAGTAGCCTATGTTACATATGTAGTTCAAGAAGCAAAATAAATTACTCATAGAAAAAAACTGATTTTCTCTTCAAAAATTTCCCTCTAGTTTAAACAAATGAGATATAAGACCTAATAACAAAAGACCTCTAAGAAAATTCTCTTTCACTATGTCAATTTTGTGATGTGATCTTTATATTTTGAGCAGGTTAATAAAAATTAGACGCAAAGATCATAAACGTAAAATCATTTTGAGCAGCATATAATCCTTATAAGTTATCAACTTATAGCTTACATTTTTCTATATATAGTTTTAAAAGTTTTTTTAAAAAAAAATCTTGTTGTGTTCACATCAATCTTTGTTTTTTTTGTTTCATTGATCAAATATAAAAAAATTATAGAAACAGAAAAATTCTCTTATTTAGATAAATTTACTAGTTTTGCATAGAAGATTGGTAATGTTTGAATAATATGTCAGCTACATAACTAGATAAAATTAATTGAGAACAATAATTACAAAAAATAAATGATAGTGAATAACTGAAATATAACTAATTTTAGATATTTATCACATTATGTAAGACCATTGAAGTGTAGCTCTGTAGGGAAAAGAAAGAGACATAAAATAAAAATTAAATTCAATAAAATTTCCCCTCGTATGAAAACAAAGAATTATACTTTATTGATATCACTATCATATTGATTACACCCATAAGTAGGAAAAAGCAAAAATTAAAAAATAAGAACTAATTAAGTAAATACTTTAAAATTAAAAGTTAAGACATTCAAAAATATACAAAAAGTAGTATAAATTATAAATTATCGTGTCAATATGAGCTATTGCTAATATAAGTATCCTATGTTACATAGTTATTTCAAGATAGCAAAATGAATTACCCCTAAAAAAACTGATTTTTCTTTTCAAAAAATTTCTATTCTAGTTTAAACAACTGAGCTATAAGACCTAATAACCAAATACATCTAAGAAAATTATCTTCACTGTTTACACAAATGGTATACTTGAACACAAACTCACTATCAAACCTTCTTGGTTCATTTTACCAGAATTTTAACATGTATGCTTGCTCTATAGAAGCTAACAAGACTAGAAGAAAAGAGGACGTTTCTCTTACCTTCTATACTAGTAAAAAAACACAAACATATCTACAACTTTAGATGTCAATTGTCTCAACAGGCAATAAGCACCAGCAAGTTTTTCAACAAAATCTGATAATTGTCTCAAAATTTTCAATAAATTTGATGGTAACGAGAAAAACAGAAAAAGGTCGGTTACAACGAGCCAACAAACAGCAAAACCAAAGTTTTCATCCTTTTCAACATGACTCAATAAAAGAAACCAAGAACTTTTCCACCAACATTCTTTCTCCTAGCCTCTTCGTGGTCCATGATACCAGCTGAGGTAGTCAGCACAATGTACCCGAACTGCAAGTTGAAAACCAATATGCAAAGATCAAAACATAAAATAGACTATACAAAATAAAACTGACAAACAAGTACGACTTTTACTCCATCTGTGATCGCAGAAAATGTCTGCAATTTCATTTGCTTAGTATCAAGTATGAACTACATATGATGCTTCAATCCACAATGACTGTTCAGATACTTCTTCAAAGAAACACACTTCACATGGACTAATACAAAAATAACAGCAGATCGAGACTCTGTTAGCCAAGCCATAGGATAAAAAATTTCTCCTTTGGATAGACAGGAATGCTTCCTTTACAGGAGAGAGAGACTCAACTGCTATCTACAAAGAGCACTTGCTATGTGACAATTATAAATGGATGGGTCCTGTAAGCATTACAGATGATTGCCCCGAGTACTCAAGATTTTTAATGCTTAAGAAGAAGCACTAATTTTCAAATATCATTTTTTTCCCTTTGAAACAAAACTACGTTTTTCAAATTTCACAATGAAACATTGGTTAAACACTCATATAGCAAGCCAATTCATGATTCAGCAAAGAAGGAATCAAAAATTAATAATGTCTATTTCACAAGTTAATATGACCATGACTTGTTTCAACAAAGAAGTAAGGAATCAAAAATTAATTATGTCTATTTCACAAGCTAATATGACCACGACTTGTTCACCCCAACAATCATTTCGGAAGCTAGAAGCAAGGCTCAATTTGGAACCAGAAATGGAGTTCTATATATTGATCAAGGGAACAAAGTGAATATATTAATCACTATACCTGTCGGGAAGGAAGCAATCTAGCAGTCCATCCTTCAATCTCCTTGACTCCAACATCAAAGCGAGGACTAATGACACCACACTTGTTTAGCCTTCCATTCAGTTCGACAACAATCTTTCCGGACCTATGATCATCGACGTACTCAAATTCTCCGATGTAACCTACACATAGATACCAACAATAAGAAAATGATAGGGTGATGCTAGCAGTGAATACAGTTAAGAAACTAACATACCATGCTTCTGCATAACAATGAGGAACTTGATGATGACTTTTGATGAAGGTCTAATCATGACCTGACGCTTTCCCCTCTTTTCAGCATTGTACATGCTCTTGAGAGCATCATTCAGCACACTAACTCTGACCATCTTTTCTTATCTAACTGTATCCAGTCTATGCAATAATCAGATGCACCATCGAAAAAAGTAACCACAAAAATAGCTCCAAAAAACAAACAAAAAGAATCAAATGGTAGCAAGATATAGTCAATGTCCTCACAAAGACACTAGGTTGACAGCACAAATTCACATGTATTAGTAACTATAGATTAGAAACAGACCAGCAATCTTCAGAAATCATGACAACAATATAGCCACGGTGAGGACTCAACAGAAGGCAACACAATAATTACCAATATACAGACCTACATCAATAAGCTGCCTTTATAAAAGAACAAGAAACAAATTCTCACCACCACCCGTTATCAAAAAGCATAATAAGGTCCATATGTGAGAGGGAGTATTGAGAATACAATTCAACAATAGAAGTGTATTCTCTCTAATAGAACAAGATCACACACATCAACCCACTTACACAGAACATCATAAACTATTTGCTTAAAGCACCATAACCCATTTTATTGCCTCTTTTACTTTCCAAATTCCTACTTCCAATTACACCCCCCATTAAAACTAATCAGCACTCACATAGATTTACCATAAATACAACTACTAAGAACCCTAAAACATAAAAGGGTAAGAACCCTCACTAATTTCAACAATAAGAAAGTATGAAAAACTACTTTCTCCATCATGGGTCGGAAAAAAAAAAGAGATTAAAATCCATCATTTCACAGCAAAACCTGTAAGACTGTCAAAAAAGATCACATTTTTACACTCCAAATTCCTACTTCCATTCACACCCCTGTTAAAACTAATCATCAGTTCATCACTAGCATAAATTTTACCATAAATACAACAACCAAGAACCCTAAAACGTTAAAGGGTAAGAACCCTAGCTAATATCAACAATAACATAGTATGAAAAACTACTTTCTCCATCATGAGTGGGAAAAAAAAAGAGGTTAAAAGCCATCACATCACAGCAAAGCCTCAAAGATTGTCAAAAATGATAACATTTTTACTCTCCAAATTCCTACTTCCATTCATCACTAGCATAAATTTTACAATAAATACAACTACCAAGAAGCCTAAAACGTTAAAGGGTAAGAAGCGTAGCTAATATCAGCAATAAGATAGTAAGAAAAACTACTTTTTCCATCATGGGTCGGGAAAAAAAGAGATCAAAAGTCATCACCTCACAGCAAAGCTTCTAAGAAAGTGAAAAAGATCATATTTTTACTTGACAAATCTAAACAGAAACTACAAGAAACAATGGTATTTAAGTAAAGAAATGCAGTCAAAGAGACACTTACGCTTTGATTCGGTAGAGAAAGAGATCACAAGAGTTGTCGCTGCGGAGGAGCAAAGAGGCGGAAATCTAAAGCACTGGTTTTTACTTATAAACGTAGGGTTTTAGGTTTTATTGTTAGGAAGAAGCACTTGGGCCCAAAATCATTTTTTGACCGAATGGAAATTCCATTGAGCTTCCATATATGTATAAAATAATGGGCAAATCACATAAATCTCACTAGTTTAGGTCTTAATTGTTAAGATTTTCAATAGTTTCAAATATTACTTTATCTACCATATTTTATGATTAGGATACATGAGTGTGAATTCATGAGATACATGTATCTGTCGAATTTTAAAATTGTACAAAATTTATTTATTTAAATTAATTGGTTGTAACTTATTTCCTTAATTAGAGGAGTAATTGAGGATTTTCAAAATACATAGATAATTAATTTCATTTTATTATTCTTTGAAATAGTAAATTCATTAATATTATTAATATAAGATAAAAACATGTATATCTTGGTAATGTAATTTGATTAATTTCAAATTATTACTCTTAAAATAATAAATTCATTAATTTGATATATCGATTATCAATATATGATGTATCCAACAAACTAAACATTTAGATACATGAGTGCCATACAAGTACATTCATATGTATCTAGCATTAATTTCATGTATTTGTTATACGTATCTAGTATTAATTTTATGTATGTGTATATATATATATATTAATTTCATGTATGTTTTATATGTATCTAGTATGAATTTGACGTATCAAGTATCAATTGCATGTGTTATATCCAAAAGCTTGTATCTCGAATACATAGTAAACACATACATCTAATTATATGTATCTAAATATGGAATATACAAAAAGAAGAAGCATATACATCTAATTATGTGTATCTAAATTTCATACGTTATATCCAACAACATGTATCTCGAATACATAATAAGCATATACATTTAATTATATGTATCTAAATATGAAATGTAGTTGAAACACGTGAATCTATGAGCAAATCACGACTATAGAGTACCTGTTGTATCATTAATATCATTGTGTTGTTAAAAATCATGTATCCAAAATTTAATATATAGTGGATACATATACATGTTCAGATACCCCATTACTAAAAATACAACTCGGATCTTAATTAAGATTACTACTTATTGGATACACATGTTTCAAGGGCTATATCAAAGTAATGTTGGTACTACCACATCCATATCACAGTAACCAAAGAAAGTCTTAGAAGAACACCAGCAAACAAAAACTCTCTACAATATTCCCTTTGATCCTTTTGCATTGTGGCATAACATAATCAAAACTAAGATCCATTTCTTTCGGAGACAAACAATCAAGACCCACTATGAATTGAAAGTTTTCTCTGTAGCAGTTACTGTGATTGGAACTCGTGATAAATGAACAATACAAAATGATATTTGGGTTCAGGAGAATTTGTGGTGATGATATCTTGAGAAGAAGAGAGTAGATTAACTATTGTTGAAATGAAATTGTAAGGTGAAATTCTTGAATCAGAAAGGAGGAGACATAATTGAGTGATAAACATGGGAGGGGAGAATTAAGAGATAGTGGTTGATTTGGAGTGAAAGAGTTATTTAAGCAGATAATTAATCAATAATAGTTTTAAGGGATGTGGGTATCTAATAGTATTTTCAAATAATATATCAATATATGGTATAAAATACTAAAAGTGGTAATATATGTAATTGTTTAAAAGTAAAGATAATATTAGTATATATAGTAGTGATGTATGTCTAATAAGGTAGTTTATCCTAAAATAATACTATGTTACATTTTTCTATAATATGGTTTTAAAATATTTTAATTTTTATTTTATTTCTTGTTATGTTTATACTCCCTCCATTCTTATTTACATGTCTCCATAGTAGGTTTCATGTGCGTTAAGAAACTAAATAAGTTTATAATTCTATTTTTATTTAATGATTTTTTGAAGTTAAGTTTTTCAATTAATTAAAATTAATTTATTTATTTTGATTAATTAATTTGACCAAGGAACATAAATTACTCACTCAATTTTTCTACGTTGGTGAAATATATATTTTCAAGATAACTCGCAAGCGTAAAATAGAAAGAATAGTGCTATTTATACATTAATTTTGTGAAATGACAAATATTAAGGAACTTTATATGTTCTGTTGCATTCATCATCAAATTTAAAAAATTATTGAGACTGAAAATTCTCTTATTTAGACAATTTTACTATCGTTTTGCGTAGAAGTTTGATAATTTTTTATTAATATGCCAGCTACATACTCTTAACTAGATAAAATTAATTGAAAGTAAAAACTATACAAAATTAATACTCCTAATAATGGATACATGAAACATAACTAGTTTTAGATATTTATCACCTTATGTTAGACCATTTTCGCTTGGTAGGGAAAAGAAGAGAAATAAATAAGAACCAAATAATACTTCAAAATAAAAAGACGATCAAAAAATTATACAAAAATACAATAAATTATAGATCTTGTGTCAATACGAAGCAAAAGGTCAAAATTAGGGGTGTTCACGGTTTGGATAAAAACCGATCCAAATCGAAAAATTGAACCAAATCAATAAAATAAAACCGATTTTATTTGGGTTTGGTTTGGTTTTAGATTTTTGAAAATCGATAGTATTTGGTTTGGTTATGGTTTTATTCAAAAAAAAACCGAAGAAATAACCGAATCGATGAATTATATACATATATTTTATTAATATACATACTTAATATATTGTTTTTATAAATAATTTTAAAGATCTTACACATATTTTCATTAAAATTTCTTTATAATTTACTTATTGAAAACAAAAACGTCCAAGATGAAACATTTATCTTATTGATTTCATGTATATGAGTGTCTATGACAATTCTTTGTGGGACTGAAAATGTTTTTGTCTTTTCCTTCTAGGCCAATATAGTGAATTTTAAAGTTTTATTGATAGTAAATTTAGTGATCGAAAGTTCAGTAATTTAAGTCATTCTAACTATTTTTCGTTTTGAATGGATTGTTGTCACTTTTTTCACATTTTGAATGAATTGTTTCTTTTATTTTTGTGTATGGTTCATAACCGAATAACCAAAACAAACCAAACCGAAAACCGATAACCACCAAACCGATAAATGTATATTATATTTGATTTGATTTGGTTTTGATAATTTAAAAACCGATTAAGTTGATTTGGTTTTGATTTTAACCAATAACTGATTCAAACCAACCCGTGAACACCCTTAGTCATAATGATAGAGTTATAGTTAACATAAGTAGCCTATCAAAGGCTGGGCACCGGATCGGAACGGGACTACCAGATCGGAACAGGACGGTTTGACCTAGTTGTTACTCGGTATCGGAATAAACCGAACCGAAATTACCGGGATGGAGGTTGGATTCCGTTCCGTCCCACTATATACCTAGATAGAACCAGAACAGATCGAAATGGGATGGGATAAACAGGACAACACCTATTTAAAAAAAAAAAAAAAAATTAGTTATTTTGAATTATGAAAATATGAATATTTTTTATTTTTCTTACTTTAATAGTTTATACTTTATAGTATTTAATTTCAAAATTTAAAATGTAATTTTACTTAAGTTTATTTTAAAGATATATTTTTTTTAATTTTTACTTTCTTAAGTTTGGAAGTTAAGTTCAATAAAGTTTTTTTTTCAAGTTTTTGAGCTTATGTTATAAGTTCCCAAGATTTGAATCTTTTGAAGTTTATAAGTTTATAAATTATTAAGTTATACTTATAACTTGTAATTTAAATAACTTAAGTTTGTAATTTTAAAAAATTAAATAAACAAAAAAGAAAAGCTAATAAAAGTATAAAACAATGACAAAATACAATTTTTAATTTTAATTAGAAATGATTTACTGATTCAATGTATCCCATTCCGTCCCAAATACTACCAAACCAAAATGGTACCACAACGGTACCGATACAACCAGGTCCCGTGCCCAGTCTTACATCCTGTGTTACATTTTTAATTCAAGAAGCAAAATTAATTATACAAGACCAAGTAACATGACAAAGAAATCAATGGAAACCTTAAATTGAACATCTTTACGAATACACAAACTATATGGTCAATTTTATGTTGTGATCTTTTCACAAATAGTAAATCGAATTTACTGTTTACTTTATTCTGGCAAGTATATGGGATAATAACCACAAAAACACATTACTAGAAATTTAACATTTATGCTTGCTCTAACAAGACTTGGAAGAAAAGAGACCTTTCCCTTTCCATTCATACTCGGGAGAAACACAAACATGCAAATCTACAACAAACTTTGGATGTCAATAGACACGCCCCAATAAAGATGAACAGGCAATAAACACCAGCAACTTTCTCAACAAAATCTGATAACTGTCTCAAAATTTTCAATAAAATCCCTACTAAATTTGATGGTAATGAGAAAAACAGAAAAAAGGGCGGTTATAACGAGCCAACAAACAGCAAAACCAAAGTTTTCATCCTTGTCAACACGACTCAATAAAAGAAACCAAGAACTTTTCCACCAACATTCTTTCTCCTAGCCTCTTCATGGTCCATGATTCCAGCTGAGGTAGTCAGCACAATGTACCCAAACTGCAAGTTGAAACCAATAAGTAAACATCAAAACATAAAAATAGATAATATACAGAATAACCAGGAGAGCCTCAACTGCAAGCATCTACAAAGAGTGCTTGCTGTGTGACATTTACAAATGAGCGGATCTTTTAAGCATTACAGGTGCTTGCCCAAATTACTCAAGATTTTCTACTGCTCAAGGAGAACCATAATTTAGCAAGTCATGATTCATCAAAGAAGTAAAGAATCAAACATTAAAAATGTCTATTTCACAAGGCTATGACCATGACATAACATTCACCCCGACAATCATTTCAGAAGACAGAAGCCAGGCCCAAATTGAAGATGACCAGAAATGGAGTTCCATATATTGATCAAGGGAACAAAGCGAATTATATTAATAACTATACCTGTCGAGAAGGGAGCAATCTAGCAGTCCATCCTTCAATCTCCTTAACTCCAACATCAAAGCGAGGACTAATAACACCACACTTGTTTAGCCTTCCGTTCAGTTCGACAACAATCTTTCCTGACCTATGATCAT